CTAGGATGAAGACTAGTCACTGTCTATGTCAGATATTATTTAGACCCAACTACAAGTATTCCCACAGGGCCATATGGCAATAACAAAAGGGTTTCTCTCCAGCGTGCGTTCTTTTTTCTTTCTTTTTTTTTTTCTTTTTTTTCCCCTTTTTTTTTTGTTTGTTTTTTGGGGCCGCCCAAGGGGGGGTTTAAACCCCCTAAACCCCCCCGTAGATCCGCGCCTGGCAAGGGACTCTGTGACATTTGTTCGCCCAACCCCCCCCCTCCCCCCAAAAAGAAATAATAATAATAATAATAATAATAATAATAATAATAATAATAATAATAATAATAATAATAAATGAAATAAATACATAGAAATAGAATAAAATAAAATTACAAGTTTTAAAAAAAATATAAGATTTAAAAAAATGGTCCCCGGATTTTTTTTTTTTGGGGGGTTGCAACCCCCCCAACCCCCCCTCTAGATCCGCTTCTGGGGTTCGAACATCAGTATTTATTCAGTTCTATTTTTTGCCTTTATAAATAGCGAGGCAAAGCAATACATAATCAAAGTCTAATCGTCTGTGAGGTAAGCACAACTAGCTAGACTCTTTGCGAACTTAGTTGCATGGTCGGCGCTCGCGCGCGCATAAGCTCACGAACTTGAACGAATCTTGGAGCCCATATAGTGTCGACCGATATACGAGAGATGTAGATGGTAGCATGCTAACTCACTGGAGACGATCCTACTTCCTAGTCTTACATGTTACATATAGCAGGCGGGGATCTAGGGGGGCCGAGCGGGCCTTGCCCCCGTAACACCCCAAAGTTTAAACAAAACAAGGGAAACGCTCTCGGCGGTCTCGCCTGCATTACGCAATTCGATACGATGAAAAATTGATGTTGGTACATTATTTATAGGCAGGGTGGCCCATTAGCAGGCCCCCCCACAAAATGAAATCTTCTGAATATAATCATCGTTTTGAAGTGCATATTGACTAAGAATCATCAGAAGAATTATTTACTATTATTTGTACCAAGATCGATAACTTTAATAAAATATGAACAAATACAAAAAAAAATGACTTATTAATTCTCATATTAAGTTATGAAAACATAATGCAAGTCTACTGACCTAAAATGACCTTTGACATTGTGACCTGGAATTTGTGTCATATGATTTGTGATACTTGATAACCCTTGGGTACAAGTTCCATGGAATTTGAACAAACACTTTTGAAAATATGCTAACAATTCAAAATCTTAATGTTGATGCCACAACAAAGTCTAAGTTTTATGACCTAAAATGATCTTTGACCTTGACTTTGTGACCTGAAATTCTACTCACATGATTGGGGATACCTGATAACCCTATAGTCCAAGTTTCATTGACTAAGAACTTATACTTTCAAAATTATATCAAAAATTCAAAAACTTAACCTTAGGTTAAGTTTTCGATGATGATGCCACAACATAGTCTAAGTCTGTTGACCTGAAATGACCTTTGGCCTTGACTTTGTGACCTAAAATTCTACTCACATGATCGGAAATACTTGATAATCCTATAGTCCAAGTTTCATTAAAGAAGAACTTATACTTTCAAAATTATACTAAAATTGTTGATGCCGTCGCCGCCGCCGTCACCGCCGCCACCGGAAAAGCGGCGCCTATGTCTCGCTCGATAATTATCGAGAGGCGCGATTTTCAAATTTTCGGGGTCAAAATAGAAACAAAAAATAGTGTTCACAAACTCCCCCCCCCCCCCCCCCCACTGAGCGAAATATCGGCCGGTTCGATTTTCAAATTTCAGCACACTAAATTTTAAATAGATTTCAAATTTGGGTCTCCCCCCTAAGAAAGCCTCGATCCGCGCCTGACATGTAGGCCACTAAATAAGCACAATCTTTGCCTGACTATTGATTTGGTAATTTGTCATTTTCCAACAAATGCATAAAAAAGAATACTTTACTAAAAAAAATGAGAAAAAAATTAGGGAAAATCATGACATTTCAGAACATTTGTAAATCACTGGTATCGAACTAGAAATAAACCAGGTTTGAATGTTTTTTTTTTTTTTTGGGGGGGGGGGGGGCGGGGGGAGGGGGGAGGGGGGGGGGGGAGCTGGCAACTGCCCCAAGCCCCCCCCATCAGTTCGCCAGTGTCTATAGTATATGCACTACCAAAAGGTATTGAATTTGATTGAATATGCCCATACGTTTTAATTTGATTTCGTGTTTACATATAGTATCTATGATAACATTATTTCCTCCTATTCGTTTCAGTGATTTTCTGAGGTAATTTTAGCTGGTTTTATGATTACAAGATGCGTGTACTTGCCTGCGAAAGTGAGTGTGTTTGTGTGTGTGTGTTGGGGGTGGGAATGGTTAAACGAGTCAATTTTTTGGTTTATTCGAGTGTGTTGACTGGGAAAATCAGTGTTTGTATCCACCCAATAATGCAACGCTACCACCCCATGCCTGAATTTACCCTGGTCGAAAAACAAAGAGAGCTTTTTTCTTCTTCAATCGAGGGATGGCATAAAAATACAACCCTATAGTCCGACGCTCACAATAAAGCCGTCAAGGTATTATTAATTCGAGAAGATCCTGGATATTACTTTATTATTTTTCTTTTTCTTTTAAGGGCGATGTGGGCTTGGGTTTCCTACATTGATTGTGTTAAATTTTCTTTCCATTTAATATATAAATGCATTTATATATATATTATTTTTGTTGGGGTGGGTGGTGCTCAGCCCAAAACCACTTATAGAGTAGTCCTGCCTGTGGACCGTTTCGGTGTCGCGCGCACAATCAGCTGATAACATAACACACCCTCAACGTTGACATTAGACCTTGCCGTTCCTCTCATTCTGTATCCCGAAAACCACGATTGATTTGATGGATTGCGCGATGAGTGGAGACACTGCACTATGGTGGGATCGATGCGTGTGGTAGAAGAATAACAATTAAAAACGGACAGAATCTGGACTACTTCTAGCACCATTTCTGATCAATTCTTTAAAATAAATGTTCTTTTGACTTTTGTAGATTCATTATTTCACATATTATTTGATTGATGAAATGCGGAAACCAAGGCCATTGATTAAAGGAAGGATGTGGGGTCCTTTAACCCTATCCTTTTCATATTCCTTTCACCTCCACTTTTCCCTCTTTTTACCTTCTCTCTCTCTTTCTATTTTATTCATTTGAAGGGGTGGGATGGGCACGTGCTCCCTACTGCAGTTTGTGATGGAACTTTTTTCTTGTTTATCAATCATAAACACAACTTTCAGTGTTTACATAGTATTTCTTGCGAACAAAGTCAATGTGTACTTTTAATTTTTATACGGAGGAGTGTAGGTGTCGATTAACCTAATTACCTCCCTAGAATCTCTACAACAACATATTATTGGATGTGGAAATCCCCACCGGAAACATTATTGATGACCCATTCACAATCGACCCCAAATCAACCAACATGACCGGTTATCCACAAAAATTGCTATTTTGGATTATGCACTTTAATACTTGGTGTCCTTCTGTCTGATGTACTGTCTCGATGGTGTTACTAATAACTGTTGAATATTGGTTATAGCGTAAGCAGTTTGGTGCAGACTGCTCTTAAAGCACTAAATTTGGTCCAGATATTGACCTTACCATATATTGTTTTAAATTTTGATGGGCGCCAAAAAACGCCACTGGGGCCGTCATTTTGGTACAATTCAAAATGGCCACCAAATGAGCTGGAATACAATTGTATTTTCAAATTAAAAGGGCTAGAAAAATGAAATTTTGTAAAATTATGAGGCCAACAGATGGAAAATCTCATTCTGTATTTACTTCATCAACTCCATGTCTAGAAGGGCGTCCCTTGTAGACATTATGGTAAAAACCTAAAATGGCCGCCATTTGAGCTCATGGTTTAATTTAATGATATGATTTCTGTAAGTATGGCGCTTAAAGGTCTAGGGAATGTGATTCTGATGTTATTCCATTGATTTGATGCGAAGAAGGGTGCCTCTACGAGTCGCAATTTTGGTCAAAACCAAAATGGCTGCCAGATGAGTTTCAATTAATTTGTATTTTCAAATATTGCAATAGGATCCTGTGAAAGCTTAGATACATTAAATCACATTAAACAGTGATTCGCTAGAGCACAACACAGAATATAACTTTTAAAATAATTTGAATAACAATGTAAACATGCATACATGGCTAGACGCACGTTCGGTGCATCTGCCTAAACTTGGTACGAGGAAATTTTGACGGCACTTTAAAAAAAAACCTGATGCTCTGTCATCCGCGGCAAAACAAATTATGCATAAATATCGAAAAACAGAAAACAATTTCCTCTTTACCGTGAAATAGATTTTGAGGTCACAAGTTGGGTATACTTTTTCTTTGATATGCACTGGCTATTTATTATTTACATGTATGTCCATTGATCTAGTATCTTTTAGGATTTGCAATCATGAATGAACCATCAACTAATGAACCTCTGCCATGCCGCCATACCGACATAAAGGGCGATTATAAATTAAAATACTAGCACTCTCCTCCATTTTCAATCTTTCTTTGCTAGTCACTCTCTTCCTTTCTTATTTGTTTTCCAATTTAAAATTCGTGCCGAAATGACACTAAGCTTACGCTGTAGCCCCTCCTATATCGAATATATGTTGATCCTCTATGCATTCAGCATGCAATCTTTTAAAAAAAATCTCCTATCTACAAAAAAACAAAAGTAGTGTCAATGTCCCATAAATCGGCTAGGTATGTTTGTTTGAATAGATATAATAAGCCAATATATTAATGCAATACAAAAAAAACTTAATCATATGTTTCTCTGTATACTTTAGATATCTGGAAGGTGACACATTTCTGGGGTGATGGTGACAACGAATAAGGTTTTGCGTATCGTCCTTACTCGAGAGATGACCGTGGGAGGAGTAGTCGAAGGTCATTTCGAAGGGGTGGGACTAAAGGACAAGGAAGAGGACCTGTAGCGGATAGTGATAACGGCATGTCGATACGACATAACTGGAGGGAAGGAAGACGTGATAGAGAAGACGCCATGATGGAAAAAAGCTTCAGGGGAGATGACTTCCGAGGAAAAGAAAGGGACACAGAAGAAGAGAGAGGAAGGGGACATGATGGAGAGATGGGAGCTGGAAGGGAAGTTGGAGGCAAAAGAGACGGTAACACAGGAGGCCCATTCCGCCAGGGTGCGACAAGAGGAGCTGTAACGGATAGAGATAATGGCATGTCCATAGGACAGAACTGGAGGGAAGGAAGTCGTGAAAGAGCAGACGCCACGATGGCTGTAAGCATTGGGGGAGATAACAGCAAGTGGAGAAGACAAAACTGGAGGGAAGGAAGTCGTGAAAGAGCAGACGCCACGATGGCTGTAAGCATTGGGGGAGATAACGGCAAGTGGAGAAGACAGAACTGGAGGGAAGGAAGTCGTGATAGAGGAGACACCATGATGGATGAAAGCTTCAGGGGAGATAACTTCCGAAGAGGAGAAAGGGACATAGAAGGAGAGAGACAAAGGGGACATGATGCAAATAGGGGAGCTGGAAGGGAAGTTGGAGGCGAAAGAGACGGTGATGGAGGACAAGTAAGAGAAGCTGTAACGGATAGAGATAACGACATGGGGAGAAGACAGAACTGGAGGGAAGGAGGCCGTGATGAAAGAGGCACCATGATGGCTGAAAGCATTGGGGGAGATAACGGCAAGTGGAGGAGACAGAACTGGAGGGAAGGAAGTCGTGAAAGAGTAGACGCCATGATGGCTGAAAGCATTGGGGGAGATAACGGCAAGTGGAGGAGACAGAACTGGAGGCAAGGAAGACGTGAAAGAGGAGATACCATGATGGATGAAAGGTTCAGAGGATATAACTTCCGAAGAGCAGTAAGGGACCCGGAAGGAGTGAGAGGAAGGGGGCATGATGGAGAGAGGGGAACTGGAAGGGAAGTTGGAGGCGAAAGAGACGATAACAGAGGAGGCCCATTCCGCCAGCGCTACAACGACAGGCAACAAGCCGGACAGCCAGGCGATCGGGCTAAAGGCCGTGGTCAAAGAGGGGGCCACATGGATCAGAACGTAGCTAGATCTAGAAGAGAGGGCTATCGGACACAGGAAAATACTAGGTATAGACCGCTTTGCATGTTTTGTTTCCATAGGCCGATATGGACCAATATTCTCTTACACATGATAATGTGTTGCACTAAATATGTCTCATACAGCTATATAGGTCAATATTTTTTTAAAATAATGACACCTACTTTATTGTAATAAAGCAAAAATTAGTCAGTTTAGTAGAATCTGTACATAATTAGCCCTTTTAAAGTTTGTATACACTACTTTTTCAACGGTGAGTACAACAGTTTGTATCAATCTTGAAATCTATGAAAAGGAGTAGGTAAAAGTGAATAAAAGCTTTTCAAGACATGAATATGAATCAATATGTATATATTCATCTTATTTCATTTCTAACATTTTAGATATGGACAGACCCAAGGAAGACACCCGAAGAACCAAGGTAACTTCAGACCACTTAGTTCCAGACTTCTCAGTGAAATACTTGAGAAAGACCCTTCCGAGGCCGCTACAGAACTTGGGTCCCTGAAGGGAAGCCTTCAAGCCGGTCTCAACGAAGACTTGATGAGTGAGGTACAGCAACATCTCCTTTGGGAGGCTCTAGCATTTATTTGCGGAGCTCTAGGTGCAGAACAAACAGTGATCATGCTCCTGACAATGGCCCTCGAGTCCAAACTCTGTCGTCAGCATTTACTCACGTTTTTGACCAATCTCAGGCGTCCAAGAGAGAACATCGACGCAAGACGGTTAACAATTTTGAAGAATGTCATCACTGTCTTCCACTCAGCCATGCAAAGTTTGCCAAGCCGTGCTTCAGATCTCAAAGTTGCTGTCACTCTCATCTCCGATGCTGTATCAGACATGGATGAAGACGACAAACATGATGACATCATGGAGTCAATTAAGTCGTTGAGTAGTCACATTGAGGACATTGAAAAAGAAAGGGAAAGAAAAAGACAGATGGACCGCATTTCTAAGAACCCACCCCCTGACGACTTCCGCCAGCAAGACATTCTTCCCACTGTCAAGGAATTGCAACCCGGATATCAGCCGTTCCTCCGTCCTCATCTGACGAGAGGTGTATATGCCGATGCAGACCACTACCTGGATGTTCAGTTCAGACTCCTGAAGGAAGATTTCATCTATCCTCTTCGCAATGGGATATCAGAGTACTTAACTTCAAAGAAGGCCAACCCTGGCAGAAGAGTCAAACTTCAGGATGTGCGAATCTACGAGGAAGCTCACTACGAAAAATCTGTCCGTGATTTCTCCGGAATTTCACATTACATGGCTTTCAAGAGAATACCTCTTGTCCGATGGCATTTGACAAAACGACTCATCTACGGATCATTGCTCATCCTATCAACGGATGATTTCAAATCATACATATTTGCAACAGTAGCCAAACGGGACGTACAAGATCTAGAGAAGGGAATGGTAGCCATAGCATTGGTCGGCCGAGAAGATGCATCATGTCTACTTAATAAGAGGTTTGTGATGGCAGAGTCATCTGTCTTCTTTGAAGCTTATCGCCCAGTTCTCCTGGGTCTCCAGCGAATGTCTGGTCCATGCTTGCCGTTTTCCCAATACACTTTGAGCATGTTTCATGATGTAAAGCCACCCAAGTATCTCCAAGATCGGATGGTAACTGAAGACGATGAAATGTTCATCTATCCATGTAGAATCGATATCTCACCTCTGCTGAAAGGCAACCGACGATGCTCTCCAATAGTCGCCGTGCTTGACGATGGTGCTTGGCCCGATATCGATGATGTACAGCTCGACCAATCACAATATGAAGCTGCCAAGACGGCTCTCACCAAAGAACTCTCTGTCATACAGGGCCCACCAGGTACCGGCAAGACACACATAGGTCTGAAGATCGTAGAGACTCTTCTCCTTAACAGAGAAGCCTGGTCAAGTGAAGAAAACCCTACCCCAATATTACTCGTGTGCTACACAAATCATGCACTGGATCAATTTCTGGAGGGGATCTTAACATTCCATCACACTGGAATCGTTCGAGTTGGAAGCCGTAGCAAGAGTGAGAAGTTGCAGCCCTTCAACCTTAGTCGGATGGTTGGTCGGAGGGGAATACATGATGAAGAGTACGTTCAGCGAAGGGTTCGTGATGTCAAGGAAGACGTTGACGCTACAAAGAGACGTGTGGATATAACACAAGCTAGGATAGAGGGTGCAAGAAATGGGATCATCGACGAGTTCGAACTAGGCCCATTTATGTCATGGCGGCATTACAACAGCCTCCTTCGTCTTTCTGATGTTAAACAGTCAAACTCCTGGCTTGTAGAGTGGCTTCTCTGTGAGCGTCATAATGACAGGGATTGGAACGGGCAAGAGAAGCGGTATACTATAGAACAAAGCGATAACCTGCAAGAAGATGAGAAGAAAGAAAGCACAAAGCATGTTCCTGTGGCAAATGAAACAACTATCGAGTTAGAATATGAACGAAATGCCATTGAGTATGAAAGACTGATTGATGACGAATATGGTGAGGAAGATTCTGATGAAGATGAAGAAGCAGATTCTGAATCTAATGAAGATGAAGACTACCCTTTCCTTGGCCTTGAAATAGATGATCTGGACAAAGCAGAGGATGGTGTCTTGCGGAGGTTCATTCAAAAGAAGATGTATGGCAAAGATGTCCTCGATCCAGGTACTCTTAAATCAATTAAGGATGTTTGGCGTATGCATCCTAATGACCGATGGGCACTCTACCATATTTGGTTGCAAAACTATCTTCAACACTTGAAAGGAAAACTGTCAGCATATGACGTCAAATTCAAGCAGCTTTGTGGTCAGCTAGATGAGGCTAAAGGCGTAGGGAAATACCACGTCCTTCGACAGGCAACTATAATCGGTATGACTACAACTGGAGCAGCTAATCACCAACAGGTTTTGCAGAGAGTCCGGCCAAAGATCGTAATAGTAGAGGAAGCAGCTGAGGTACTGGAGGCACACATCATCACGGCATTAAATGCATCATGTCAACAGCTCATACTCATTGGAGATCACCAGCAACTTCGACCGAAACCGAACGTGTACTTCCTGGCCAAGAAGTATCATCTGGACGTTTCATTGTTTGAAAGACTTATCAACAATGGATTTCCTTACTCACAGCTTGAGCTGCAACATCGGATGCGTATCGAGCTGTCGGATCTGATGAGAAGGCACTTCTATGACAACCTCCAAGACCATGACACGGTGAAGCAATACGAAAGTGTGAAAGCAGTTCAAAAGGATATCTTCTTTCTAGATCACGCAGAACCAGAAGATGAAATGGACGATACACAGAGTCACTACAACCTCCATGAGTCCAGACTCGTAGTGGCATTGTGTTACTACTTCCTGCAGCAGGGGTATGAACCTGATAAGGTTACAATCCTCACAGCTTATACAGGTCAGCTACTGAAAATCAAGCAGATGATGGATCAAAGCAAGTTTGAGGGTGTCAAAGTTACTTCGATAGACAACTACCAGGGAGAAGAGAATGATATCATTCTCTTGTCCTTTGTGAGGAGCAACAATCATGGGCGCATTGGATTCTTGGGGATTTCGAACCGAGTCTGTGTCTCCTTGTCAAGAGCAAAGAAAGGGATCTTCTGCGTTGGAAACTTCACCCTCTTTGCAGAAAAGAGTGAGCTATGGAAGGGAATAGTAACAGATCTAGAAGGAACGGGATCAATCGGAGATTCCCTTACGCTGCAATGCACCAATCATCCAGAGGAGAGGACAGCGGTCAAAACTGCCGATGACTTTAAGAAGGTACCACTAGGAGGATGTAATAGAGACTGTGATACCAGGCTTGATTGTGGACACGTTTGTCGATTAAAGTGTCACCCAACAGATCTAAAGCATCTCGTCTACAAGTGCAAGGCTCCGTGCTCCAAGGTTATCTGTGAGAGAAACCACAAATGCCCAAAGCTCTGCTCAGATCTTTGCTCGACCTCTTGTTCAGTCATTGTTGAGAAGCTTCTGCCCTGCCTTCATGTCTGCAAAAGGGAGTGTAAGACCGACATTCGGTACATCATGTGCGAGGAAAAGGTTGACAAAACTTTAGGTTGCTCACATGTCCATCTTCTTCCATGCCACATGCCAACCAAGGGACTTGAAAAAGAGTGCGAGGTCATCATCAAAAAGGAACTCCAGTGCGGCCACAGAAAGACAGAGAAATGTAATGGTAGTGGTCGATGTGACGAGATAGTCTTGAAAGTTCTGGGATGTAACCATACCTGCCAAGCAGCGTGCCATAAAGATCCAGAGAACATCAGATGCAAGGAAAATGTTGAGAAAACCCTACCATGTGGACATACACATACTCTTCTTTGTTCCACAAGTATTGTCAATGTTCTGTGCAACACGATTACCCGAAAAAGTCGCTCATGTGGACACGAAATCATAGAGAAGTGCTGTCATAACAGTAAATGTTCCGAAGTTGTAGAGAAAACCTTGCCTTGCGGTCACAAATTGAAGATTATTTGTTCGATCAAATTAGAAACAGTAGAATGCAAAGAAAGGTGCATCAAGCAGCTTCCATGTAACCACATTTGCAAGGAAAGGTGCGGGGTGGATTGCACTGAGTACTGCACAGAGATAATCACCAGAGATGACTGGTCATGTGGTCATGAGGTAACAGTTAAATGCTGCGAAGAAAGCGACGCATGCTACATCGCCTGTGAGAAGATCTTGATATGTGGACACAAGTGCAAAGGGACCTGTGGAAAATGCTCACAAGGTCGTTATCACCACCCCTGCATTGAGACATGTAAGAAAAAGCTGGTGTGCGGGCACGAATGCGCCCTCAATTGCGGTGCACCATGTCTTTCATGTGAAAAGAAATGTCCTCTGCGTTGTCGTCACTCGCAGTGCAAGCATCCTTGCAGTAAGCCATGTTATGTTTGTATGAAACGTTGCACCTGGAAATGTGAGCATTTTGAGTGCAAGACGTTGTGTTGCGAGCCTTGTGACAGACCCCCATGCAACAAGCCCTGTTCAAAGAAGCGGAAATGTGGTCACCCTTGCATCGGCTTATGTGGTGAGATCTGCCCCAATAAATGTCGCACCTGCGACAAAGAAGATTTGGAGAAACGCTTCTTTGGGACTGAAGACATCCAGACAGCAAGGTGAGCTGAATTTTATATAACCATCCTTTTAGCAAATAAATCGAGGAAGACACCTACAAAACATGTGAAAAAAGATGACTTTGAATAATCTCATTCTGCTTCATGTTAACAAAACTAATTATACAATATAAAGGTTAACCTGTGGAATTTTTCTGCTTAGATTTTGTCATTTTGTCATTACCATTACATGTCTATGTAAAACAAAAAATAGATCTCAATGGAACAAAATACCCTTTTAGTACTTCGATAATACATCTAGATTAATATTGCTCGTCATGCTCCTTGAAAGATAAACTCTAATTATTAGAAAAGAAGTAGAACCATTAAAAACATTTCCTTAAAACTGTATGAGAATATGCCAACAGCAGAGCTACATGCATGATTTAACAAATTTCAAAATTTCTTTTGCTACGTATATAGGTATATTCAACTAGAAGACTGTGGACATTACTTTGAGGTAGAAGGACTTGACAAGTTCCTGGGATTCGGCATAAAATCCGACGGTGCAGAAATATTTACCAAATTATCGGTAATACTACAACATTTTTTTTCATTAAATATCAATTGATTTGTTCTTTCACTCTTATCACTCGTATCATATCACAATACTTCTAGTACGCGTTGTCGTAGATAGATATTATATACTTATAGAACAAGACAAACCTCTTAATCAAGAAGGACATGTACGTGTAAATGTGTTTAAAGTAGAAGAACAAGAATTTGGCATAATTCATAATAACTCTTCTAAAAATAATACATTCTTTTAACTCCTAACGTTTTTGATGTATCAGTCAGTTTGGTCTTAATTGCTTACTGTGACACTGTAAAATTAATATAGGTTTTTATTTTGTATCATTTTAAGGTAAAAACCTGTCCAAGATGCGAAAAACCAATCCAGTTGAGTCGTCGCTACAATAATCTCCTGAGAGAATCTTCAGCGATTAAGCCGCGAATCGTGGAAAAGCTACAGGGTGCTCGCAATAGCAGTGAAGACAAACACCTCCTCCGTATAGTCAACTCAGCCGTCATGTCGGCGAGAGAAACCATTCCACTTTTGTCACCCAAATTATCATCAGGGATCTACTCTGCGCTGTTTGAGGCACTGTTGGAGAGAAAGTCAATGGTGCTTCTGCCATTTCGGGACAAGCTTCAGGAACTACTCCTGGCATCAACAGAGGAACTGGAAAGACATAGCAAGTCATTACCGAATGTTCTCGTAGATCAGCACGCGAACGACCTTTGGAATGAGATGAATCGAGTGACGATCATGTGTGACTTGGCCGAAGTACTGAGGGGAGGACCAAACAATCAACCGAAGTACCCAGACTTCTCAAAATCCTGGGCCGGGATAGGAATATGACATTAGCACATGACCTCCTCAATAGAATTCGCAGCGCTAATGGGATCAGCAATACTGGCAATGACCTACCGACTTTCAAACGCACTCCACGTCTTTCTTTAGAAGTAACCATGTGGCTTACTTGTGCCAAAGGACATCCCGTTTCGAACCATCAGCCAAAGACGGGCGCGTGCGAGGACTGCGTCTTGGCTGAGCAGGAGAGAGTCCTCTCCGAGGCTCATGCAGCTGTAGGACGCCCTAGAGAGAATGTGCCTGGTCAGCGAAATATCGGTGGTCAGCAAGGCCAGCGGGGTAGGCGACGAGGACGTGGAAGAAGAGGTCGAGGCAGAAGGGGTGGTCGCAGAGGAGGACACCAAAGATTCTATGTCCCGTTTTGAGCCCGAATACGCGATCAGAATATTCGTACATCAGATATTGCTAGTCATTTTGCATGAAGATGTATACAATCAATATCAAACACGGTTTATGAATTCCACTGACCTTCGCATATCGATGTTTATCTAGATAAATCATAATGCTGTATTAAAAGATTGTAATCGATCCAAGCTATTATTTTGTTCTTTGAGATGAACAACGCATGGGGAATAAATTGATAACGAATTCGTAGTACACTGATTTTCCGAAGTCTCTTTGATCTGTTAAGAATGTATGGGTTTAAATATCCTTTATCGAAATGAATTTTCCTTATTTATTTGAAGGGCTTTTGAAAGATATGCGAGACTACAATGTCGACAGCAAAAAGAGAAAGCATTTTATGTGTCATTTAAAGGATTGAAATTGTAAGATATCGAAACAATTGGTATTGACCAAATGAGCACTGGCTAGGCTCTGCAGGAGCACACAATTGGCCTGAGCAGAGAAATACTAAGAGACTGCGTCAAAGTACATGTGAACCATCATTTTTGCATGTGCTTTATGAGGTATGAATAATCGTTTCGTAACGTATATAAATATTCTTTATATTTTCCGATTTTATCTCAATCGGATCATTTGCTCTATACCCGTTCGCTTCGCTGCCCGCAGAATACTAAAACATCACTCGACTTTATCAAACAATGATATTTTTCTGTTGTCCATGCTATCAGAAAATTGGTATTTTTTCAGTGCGGGTTTTTTTCAACCGTACCGGCGCATAAAAATATGTTTTACCGAGCCTTTTCTTTGTGAAATACTTAGTAGTATTGTAGAAAATTAGAAGAACACAGACAAATATTTGTCTTTATAAGAATATAATTCGTCTCAATATGTTGTAAATAGATCTCCACTGTCTTGATCTTCAATATACATGCACTTTAGGTATACATTCGTTTACATCAAGCAGGAGTAGAGTATCACAATTGGATAACAAATTGGAACTTTTGAAATAATGATATTGATCGGATCCAAACGATTCAAAGTTGTTTTAAAGCCATACTGTACTAGAAGCCCTACCGCAATATCCCTTTTAGCGCCCACTCTGGTCAAATGTAGCAGTATGGTCTCGTAACTCGCTGCTTATATGGCAGAGCTGTTGGTTTTCGCATCGAGTCCTCTGTCTGCGAAGTGGAAATTAGTTATTTGGTTATACATTGTTGGCAAGTTGACCGTGAGATGGCGCTGTGCAATTAACAGTCTGCTAAAAGACAGAAAGTTCATCAGTTCAGTATTGCTTTAAGATGACGCACATGTGAAAAACTTGTTGCATGTGTTTAATATGCAATGTTGATAAGGTTGAACTTTATGTACTTTTAAACGTGTAGTGACAGGTGAATTTTGAGAATTAACATATGAATGTTGTTTCTTGGTCGGTATTACATGAACAACCATCCTACTCAGAAATTGAAGCATTGTTAAACACTACGATTTTCTATTATAACCCCACAAGATGTAAATAGAAAATAAGATGTACATGATCTTGGTCGGTATTACACGAACAACCATCCTACTCAGAAATTGAAGCATTGTTAAACACTACGATTCTCTATTATAACCCCACAAGATGTAAATAGAAAATAAGATGTACATGAAGTCTATTTCGTGTAGAGCAGTGATTCATGCTGTCACGTTTCATGTTTAAAGTTTATTTGAATATTACTCATGCTTTTTTGTAATCGATAGGTTTGATTAGAAGCGATGATACTGTTAAGATAAAAAAAGATATACACATATTTTGTTACTGTATTTATTCAAACGAAATATGGTTAAAACTTGAGCATTGGCTGTCTCGTAATCATGTACATATTAAGTTTAAAAATCAAAATAAATTGTTTGGGTTTCATTGAAATAACAACAGTACAACAACAAAATTGCAGCAAAATGCAAACATTGTTTGCCGGTTTTTTAAAACAATATAAGCGATAAAGTGCTATCATGATATAGAAAAATATATATATAAAACAAATCTGAAAGAAAAGACATTTATGAACAAGTGGTTACCTTTTACAAAGTGTTTCTAATTGTTTATTTTTTCTGAAAAAAAATTAAATCTTAAAAGTAAATATGTGATATCTTAAAAATGAACTGCAGTTTGTTACTGATATTTATAAATGTATGCTCTTTTTATCTTTTGAAAGGCCAAAAATATATCATTTTGAAATTGTGCATGTATATATCTCTTCCTTTATACATATTTGAATGATATTATGTATTAAAGGAACCCTGTGGAAGGGAACAAATAGAAATAAAGATAAAATGAAGAGGATATGCAGTTGGTGAAAATTATCTATCGTATCTATTGAAATATGAGAAAGAATCGGTAGAATACTTACAACATCAATATTATGTATAAACATCAAGATTGTCATTAGAGGCTTTGTGGAATTCTTCATTACATGTTGAATAAATTTCCATCATCTAATACCAATAATTTACTATTATCGTTGTTAAGGTTTGAAAAGGAAAAACAGTGTATTAGATGAATGTCGATCAAAGAATGTACTTCCAAATTGAATAATATTTACAAGTGACACGTACTCAATTATGGACAAATTACTCTTGTCAGAATTCGGGAAGAAAGGTTGACATTATATTACAATACTGACTTTATATCCTCACGATCGTTTATTATAATAGCATGATTAATTGGTGTCCAATTGTATGATGGATATTCAACTTAGGTGTAAACTCACCAGTCGTATGAAACAGAACAATAACAAAATGTATTTTTTAAATTTGGTATGTTTTACAACTTTTCGATCGGACCATTAAACTTTCATGCCAGATGTGTGTGCAGTGTCATATACTAATTTTCGTACGCGGTTCTTGTGATTTTCAACAATTTTCAGTCAATTTCTTTTCATTTTGATCGTTTCAAACCTCACAGCATATATCAAGTCATATGTGCTGCATAGTCATTTCAGATTTCGTTCACATGACTACCGAACTCAAGTTTTTGTGTTTTTGCTGTTTTTTAGAATCATATAACGAATCACAATATAAATAAACTGTTTTGCTTATTATCTCCGAACATTGTTGTACCACTGTGGTATCTGTACTGTATCATCGAGTAGGTGGTTTTCCTCATTTGCAGGGGCGTTGATCCATCTACATTAGGGGAGGGGGCATTGTACATACATGTACGAGGTAATAGCATATCTTTGTCTGTGTGTGTTTGGTGTGGGGGGGGGGGGATCTTCAGGCTTCAGCTCATTCCAACCAGGGAAATGCTATTCTATCAATTGTCACCTCATATTTACTAAGCGAGCTAGTCTCTTTCTCATTTGCATCATAAATTACCAAATCTACATTGTGCTAATATAAAGTTGGTAGCCCCGACACCATTTGTGCAGTCCCATATACATCTTTCTGTGTGCAGAGCTTGTTACTTTACAAAGACTGGGAAAAATTTATTATGATTTTGATGACTCCAGAACTTTGCAGTGCACACAAACTACTTACATGCTACATGATCCACCTTTTCTGATCCATGCTTCACCTTTTCTTTCACAATGCAATCGGATGACCATTATGATTTTGATGACTCCAGAAATTTGAAGTGCACACGAAATACTTACATGCTACATGATCCACCTTTTCTGATCCATTCCACACCTTTTCTTTCACAATGCAATCGGATGACCAGAACTCATCTTTATCTTTAAGGAAACAAAAGGCATATGGTAAATGTGTACACTGCAGGGAAGAGGGATGCTTCTATCAAACATAGTTGATATAATTTACATTGAGTTTTCTTTCAGTCATAAATCGTAGTATTATTGCATAGGGTTCAAAGGTGACGGACAGGGGTGCAACAGGGGACTCAACAGTTTGCCTATAGTGGAATGGTAGAGCAAATAAATAAAGAGAGAGAGAGAGAGAGAGAGAGACGGGGGGGGGGGGGTGTTTGGTGAAACGAAGGTGAAATGACACTTATCCACACTCTTTCCTAATTGCTAGGCGTTTTAACTCGCATTCCATCCACCAATTCTCGGTAGGGAGGGGATGGTTGGGTCACAAGCGTCTGTACTCACTTTTTGGCTTGGTTAAACAGGACCATTGAGTGTTTTTAAAGTTATTTGCTTGTCACAATTTTTTTCGTAATTGCCCGTCCCCCTCTTTTACAACTTTTACAAAATTCTTGCACCGCCCATTACACCTTTAACACCCCATACCTCTTCTTTTTTGACTATTCGATAGGCAGTACCTAATATGAGTTGAGTAGGTTTCTTTGCTAAAGAAAATTTTCTTTTAAGATCAGCAACGCCACATCTAAAGAAAAAGCCTTTAGTTTCATATATCTATAACATGAGTGCCCCACATTGAAATAAAATTGCAATATTTTCACTAAGTGATGTAGAATGTAAGCGGATCGCACAATATCAATCTTACACGTCACACCTGCATGATGAAATTGCGCAATTCTTATTAAACATGCATGAGAACGTGATATGAATTACCAAAGACCTGCGGTGCTGACACATGCTATTGTTGGATATAAATGTTAGAACGGGAAGTGGTAGTATCCGCAAAATAACACTTATAATATATAGAGGTCACGCTGGGGGGGGGGGGGGGGATTCAAA